CATTAAAGGGCTAAGACATTTAGCTGAATGGTGTGTACTGCAATGTACCCTTCGAAAATAAAAATCCCATTATGTGCGTAATGCATATGCAAATTGTAGAAAATAACTTTTCTGAGACACGTCCCATCCTGTGAAAGATATTTATATAACATGAATTGTTTGCGTCATTCTTTTGTCTAAGTTGTTTTTGCATTTTAAATGTTATTTTCTTTTTGTAACCCGTTGAGCGTTTAAGTAGATTTTGTGCGTTTTTCTTGCGCAAAGAAAAATTCGGAAGTCGCGTCCGTCTTTTGGATATTATTGTTGTTATTCTTATTTTTCTTGGGAAGACGGTATTTTACAACTGTCTCTGTAGGGAGGCTTATGTAGCATCAAATGGCAGGAAGATATGTGTACATGAATTACTGTATGAATTGGAAAATATGGGAAATTGATTGAAGTATCTCGTGTCTATTATCGTTCACTGGTTCCTTTGTCTTCCTGTCAGCTATCTGAAAACGTAAAGATTAACGTACACAATAGTCTGAACAAGGTGTAGCGGTAAGGTTCTAAGCCTGTATTCAGTAGGCTCTCGTTTCGAATCACTTTCTCAGTCACTGCAGGTATATTCAGCGTTACTACCCCTATTAGGTCATGGCCGCTTCTTTCCAAGTCCCTTCAAAATCATCATTCATCAATTATTTTGTAATTAGACGCTATATAATCTAGATACTGAGGTCATCGTTCAACAAACCACAGAAGAGGTTAAAACTATATATTTGACTGTTGTTTTGTATGGATGTGAAGCTTTATCTCTCACAGTAAGGCAAGAACGTTGTTTGGGGGGTTGAAACAAGGGGCTGAAAGAATATTTGGAGCTAACAGAGCGAACGTAATAAGAGTCTGGAGAAGAATAAGGAGCTTTATAATTTGCACTCACCAAATATTATTAGGATTATCAAATCAGGGAAGATGAGAAGAGAGGAGTGTTAAAATGCCTGTGAGAGAAGAGAAATTCACTTAGGATTTTGATAGGAAGACATGGAGGAAATAAACCACATGGAAGGCTTGGCGTGGATGGGACAATAATTTTAAATTAAATTAAAAAAATAAAATTGGCAGGCAGGTGGATATAAATCACTCAGGACAGAGACCAGTGGAAGGATCTTGTGAACACGGTATTGAAATTTTGGTTCTATACCATGCTTGGATCTTTTTGTTACCTATACAACTAGTAGCTTCTCAGGAAGAATTCTACTCCGTTTATTTATTTGGTCTACTAGTCTTTCGTTACGCCCTTAGTTACAGGGTCGCCGACTTCGATATTTCGCATTTAGGCACCCAGTGCTTGTACGGGTGTTTTTTTTTTCTGAAAAGATACCGCATACGTTGTTTTATTTAAATACACGGTCATTATAAATTATACAAATTCAAGGAATACGCAATTTAATGTATTGGAACCAATTTTAAGGGCCATATTTTTGGAGTTGGAATATTCATATTCTTCAGTCACAGATTTGTGATGGATGAATTATTGAATATAAAATATGAAAAAATCTGTTCAACCGCTGAGGGGCCAACGAAGCCATATCAATATACTATTATATATATATAGATATCCATACGTAAGTATACACGTAAAGCCTAGTGCATACCTAAACCTATTCTTTCGTATTTGATCGGGTAGGATGCTCTAAACGTGTAAATCCTTCAAAATTTCTGTATCGATTTTTTTCACCATCAGACTACTTTCTCGTATAAATTATACAAACTATCAGATAAAGTTAACGGACAGAAATATACCACGTATTAATACTTGGAATTACAATTATTTAAACATAATATTCTATCTTGAATACTTTAGGGCAGCCCTGTCCAACGCGGCGCCTGTGGTATATTTTTCTGGCGCCCTCCGTAACCACATATAATTGAGCCGATTTTTAATATTAATTCAAATTGTAAGACGAGAGACATTTTTGAACGTCTGAGTACCGTTAAGTATTTTCGAAAAATATTATTATTATTATTGTTTATTATTATTATTATTATTATTATTATTATTATTATTATTAGTAGTAGTAGTAGTAGTAGTAGTAGTAGTAGTAGTGGCGCCCGCACCTCCATAGGCATCAGTGAATTGTGCCCAAGTACATAAGAACGTTGGACAGCACTGTTCTAGGGTGATTAGTAAAAACAGACTTCAGCATCTTAAACGTAAGTCTGTTGGCAAATTTCTGGTTTCCCAACACTGAAAACTGGCTCCCTCACCCTTGGTTGAAATCCTAGCGGCCCTAATTGTTAATTAGAAAGTTAGTTTTGCTTAGGTATTAGCGGCTGTGCTGACGGAAAGATAATTAATGTCGCGAATAGATTTACTGTGAACGAAATGATCGGATATTGCACATCGTGTTGTGCCCCTAAATAAAACAGCTTGAAGGTGAATTCGTGATCAATGAACACGTGTAGTCTCACAGGTGTGAGGTATTTCAGAACGTTATCACTGTCGCCTCGACTCACCAGGGCAATATTCTGTTAAGCACCATTTTAATTTTGCGAACGTTAGCCATATTGTCAGTCTAAAACATCTTTGAAAGTACGTCATACCTTCAGTAAGCAACCTTACGGAAGAAAATTTCCCTGTGTTCAGCGCCATCTCCGGTGTAGTGATTTCGATTCCTATCATATGATGAATGTGGACTCTGATGACGTAACGATCTACGTTACTAGTCGTTAATGACGCACAGTCAAGGTTGTTTTAGACACTATTTAAGATGGTCACTGCACGGTTAATTTGCCGAATTAAAATATATTTTCTTGTCAGAAGCCCTGAAGCAAAGAGCCACTGGTAACCCTACACGGAGATAAAGAAACTTTCTAATATCTGAGATATGAGGTTCTCACGGCAGTGACTACGAATGGGATGTAACTCCGTATAGACTGGTAGAAATTTGCCGATGTTTTGGAAGAATGTATCTCTTCCGTTTTTAGGGTTAAGCAGTAAGCCGTTTAAGCAAGCTGTGCATGTTACTAAGATGCATCTCAGTTTCACTTTAACTTTCTGCAGCTTCCTCGTCTTGTCCTTCGAGCCTGAAGATTGAGGCCGTAAGTTCCCCCTAAACGTCAGTACACTTCTACTGCTATGACGCCACATCTAAGCAGACAGTAAAGTAAAGTAAAAAAAAGTAAAGCTATCACTGTACCAGGCCGTGAAGGTCCATAGGGTTGTGAGACGTTGAGGGTCCCGCATTATCTAGACAATCGGCTCAAAGATGGCGGTAAGGTTGTAAGCCATACGCGTCGGCCGCGCTTTACTCCCCAGGAAAAATATTTAATTAATTCCTGGTACTTATTTCTGTTAGTGGCTGAATCGACCCCAGGGCCATAGTGTGGTTGGAAGGATTAAGTCAATTGAAAAAAATGCAATGACCTCATCGGGACTTGAACCCGCGACCTTCCAGCTTGTAGCACAGCTCCTGAACAAACTACGCTACCGCGTGCCCCCTCTCAGCAGACAGTACTCCTCAAATTTTACAATGTGTGTAATGTTTGAGTGAGTGGAGATAATGCTACATTAATTCGTTATCCTTGACTCTAGATGGAGGTGACTGGTATTCTTTAGTCCCCGGTCGCTTTGCTCACAGGGAAAGGGCCCCGACACGCACTGGATAAAAGGCTGGGTGGGCCACCGAGCCGGCCTGTGCGTTGTGAGGGAGATAAAAATGTCTTGCTTCTGTCGGGAATTGAACACAGTTTTCCGGGTAGCCCAGTCCGTAAATGAATCACCATACTGAATCAGGCAACCGGGTGTTAAACTAACACGTTGCTAGGAAGTTAATATTAACATAGTTTGTAGGAAGTAAGTAGAATATGAATTTTTTTACTGGAATAAATTGGATCCAGGCAAGGTCCAGTGATGGATTTCTGTGGATCGCTGTCGTCCCGTTCGAAGTTAAGTAATCCTGAAGTCGACCATGTTTTTTGGTTTCCATACTGTTTGAGACTCCATTAACAACCTGTTTTATATATGCTTATAATTTAAAGCCGTGTTGTAATACAGCACTTCATTAAAAGAATAAAACACTATTTCTATGTAGTCAAGGAATTGTTTTGTATTTCTTTAATTGCGGTTTATGTTGAAAGAATAAATGAAGCATTTATTTTTGTGTAGTTTCTCGTATTATTATCTAGAATGAAAGATCTCGGTAGCACAAACAATTACGCCCAGAATTTGAGTCAATATACAGTATGTTTATGTACAAGTAGACCCGTAAATTCGGGCTGGCAAATTTACTTAATTATTAAGGAAATAGCCGGTCACGGTAGCCGAGCGGTCTAAGGCATACACTGTCTTCGCTCGTTCGGAAGCCGGGATCGTGGGTTCGAATCCCACTCAGGGCATGGATGTTTGTGTGCGTTTTTCTGTGTTTGTCTACAGGTAGAGGCCTTGCGACGAACTGATCACCCGCCCAAGGAGTCCTACCGAATGTGTAAGATCTAGAAAAACCGAAGTGAACGGAGTTCATGGAGGTAGGCCTAGGCCCACTGGGGCTGTAGTGCCAAGGCAAAACAAAAAATTAAGGAAATGCGTCGGTAAACTTCGGCTGTGGTTAAGAAGACTCCTGTTGATTGCTGATTCTGGAAGTTCTGAAATGTACACCTAGCTTCCTTTCTGTTTAGTTATTACGAAACCCGTTAAGGCTTGCGGAACAAATATATCGAACATTAAATGTTGTGTTCCATTCTTATCTACAATTTCCATTAAATATTTTTTAACGATTCTCAGGTTGTCTTGTGCGGGACGGACAAACTGAACAATTTCAACAGGTTTATTTCAGGGCTGTGAACGTCCCTAAAAACTAACTCTTATATACCGATGATAATACAAAAATAGGATTGATTTTTCTCTTCACCGTCTTACATCTGTTCGCGCCGTCAATGTCGCCAGATGCACAGCTCCCCCCTCCCTTTACATTGCTCTACCGCGAATTTTTCAGCAGAAACGACACCTGTTAGCAGTTTGAGTGAAGCCGGTTACATCAGTTCTGCGAAATGCAGTGCTGAAGGTGGCAATGAGGAAAACGTGCCCTTGTTTCAGTAGCACGATCTTCCCCGTCATTGTCCACGCAGTAAACTGCTAATTACTAGGCGGACCGCATAGTGAACATATACGCTTTTACTTCGAAATTTAGTTTTCAGTGGCGGTTTGTTAGTGTGTTACATTTGTGCGTCTAGTATGAGCGTAGTGTGTCTGGTGTGCAGCCTGCTACTGGTGTGTGTAAATTCTCTACCTCCGCCATGTGAAAGGTGAGCTGAGGTTCTGCTGATTGGTGGGTTCAAAGCCGACCTGATTTCACGGGATGTTCACGGATGTCAGCTAACTAACTTCATGGAGTTATATGATGTTATATTTTAGCGTCCTGTTGCACTGATTTTCATCCATGATATGTACCTATGTATTGGCCGTCTTGTAGTGCACTCAATTTCACCTGTTACTTCACGACATGTTTCGGCAACATAGTTTAGCTTTATTTACGCTAAGCTATTGCATTGCTTGCCTTTATATGTCTTTGTAAAAAAATTTAAAACGTATTTAAAAAGTACATATTCGTCAACTATAATAAATTTTTATACACTAAAACTTGTTAAGATTATTCATCTTATGTGTCTTAATAGTTGATGAATATATACTTTTTAAATACGTTTTAAATATTTTTACAAAGACATATGAAGGCAAGCAATGCAATAGCTTAGCGTAAATAAAGCACCTGATGATGGCACTATGTTGCCGAAACATGTCGTGAAGTAACAGGTGAAATTGAGCGCACTACAAGACGGCCACTACATACATATCATGGAGTTACGAGTATATGAATTCAAAGAAATATTCCACGTATTTTCAGACCCTTGTAATGTTGCATATAATCCTTGTTAAACATTTAAACTGATCCCTCAGTCGGGGCAAAAGGTTTCAGCCTTCAAGTTGTCACTTACTTGGAGTAAGAATGACAATGGTGCTGCTAACCTCCCTTTAGTTCCATTCCACCAGTTGTTTCACGCAGTCCATCCGGCAAAGTGATTGTTTTATTTCGGTTTATTTTACGAGGATCTCAGTAGTTAGATAATAAATGCAGCGTCGAAAATTAGGGTGGCAGATGAATGGTGAAATGGAAACGATTTAGAAAGAAGCGTCCGCGAGATAGTGGGGGCACTAAGTAAAACTACGCAAAACCTCATAGAAAACTACACTGAAGACTGTGTTTGTGTACATAAATCAAGAGTTAAAAATAAATGTAATATTTTTAATTAACCCGGCGATGGTAAGGTGGGAAAATGTAACAAAAATAGTAAGGTGTGGTCCTACAGACTCCAGACATTCCGTTGACTATACCAACCCCACCTTTGGTTTGGTTATAAAACAGAATGATTTCTGGATTAGATGTTCTCTCATCTACATTATCACTATAAATGTAATATGAAAATCATAATATTTTTTGGCACAAATGAAACTATGGTGATATTTGGTTGAAAACCACAAATGGTAGTCATCGGGCTTCTTCACTTGGTATTGATGAAATCAGGTGACAGTTCTCTTTTATTATTCTTGATTGTTCCCACCATTATTATTATTATTATTATTATTATTATTATTATTATTATTATTATTATTATTATTATTGTTATTGTTATTGGATGGGGTGGGTTTCCCCATGCACCGACCAGTGGTCTATTGTACGTCCCCCTGTGATATTCTACCAGTCTCTATACCCTACCGATACTGGTGCGTGACATCAGTCCCGACTCAGCCAGCAAGTTCGGCCTCTACTGGCTCAGCGGTATCTAGATGCTTCCCCCATCTACCAGAGTCGTTAGAGACTATTGTTGGGCGGGAAATGTCCTTTATAATTTGGTTCAGAGGCCCCCGATGCTTCCCCCATTCTTTTACGTGCCGTAAAGCTACGACACGGGACCCACGGCTTAAAGTCCCTCCCGGAGGACTTGTTCCCTGAATTTTTCCGCCCTTAAAAATTCCACGACCTCTGCCGGGTTTGAACCCGCGTCATGAGGTGGGAACGTTACCCCTATACTACGGAGGCCGCTTTGTTCCCACCATAGTTAGCTTATGATCTTCTAGCAAGAATTTAGCCAATGGATAACTTGTGAACCAATTATCTAAAGTCACATTGCAACCTGATCCAGATATAGGTACAATCATCCTTCTAACAACTTCAGAAGGTGTGTTTGAAACTCTGTATGGGCTTTCAGATTGTGCACCAACGTAAACTTCCAATTTAGAAGTATAAGAGGACTTGACACCAAAAATAGCAAATACTTTCAGGCCATACTTTGCCGGTTTGATTTGAATGTACTTCTGGAAACTGCATCATCCACGAAAGGCTTCTAACCTTTTATCAATCGTAACGTTTTCTCCTAAAGAATGTATAGACTCACATACCTCGTTGAACTTATTAAAATTTTCTCTAAATGGAGCCAATTTGTCGTAATATCTTCGTTCAGTTCTAGTACTTCGGTCGTCAAATCGTAGACATCTAAGAAGAAAACGGAAACCAACAAATTACATTATGCTTCTAAATAATTCAACACCGGTACAGTCCGTGGCCCATAGATCATCCAGATTCTGGAGACTAGACTTATAGAAACCAGCTAAATATAAAAGTCCAAACACAGACTTTATTTCACTCATATCAGTCTTTTGAACACTATTATTGTTTGGCGTAATTTACTTGCTTTATTTCTATTTCGTCATCCGTATTCTTCAAAATTAGGCCTATCATGTCATAAGGAAAAAAAAAAATCTCCCAGTAATCTAAAATTGATTTTGCATTTTTTTGCGTTGCTAGCTAGCTATGTTATGTGCTCGAGTTCTTATTCAATATCCTAACTTGTTTTTACTCCATCTTGTTTGCCTATCCTTCGCCAAGTAAAAGGCTCCCTCTCTAGATTCTTCCTGTGATGGTTTTTCCTCACAGTCTTGTTCTGTATTAAACTCTTGGTTACTGACTAATTCTAAATCAATTTCAATATCATTATCTCCGCTAAATGACTTCTCGACTGTCAAAGCGTCACCTATAAGTTGACGTAACCTCTGTTCTTCCTGCTCGTAACTCATCTGGTAAAATAAGATATTATTCTCAGAATCCCCCCTAAATATTTACGAAAACGTATTTTCTTATAGTTGGTATGTAGAAATTTAGAAGACACAGCAGTAACGATAATATTCTAGTAGAATATACATGAAAACAGCTTAAGTTTCGGAAGTAAATATAGTCACACTTTTGGTAAGGTGGGGTCTGGTGGACCCCAGCACAATTTACACGTCTGTACACTAAAATTCCTTGCACGCAACAGCCTTTCGTCTATGGCGTCGAGTGGCGGGTTACGTGAGGGGAAGCTACACTAAGGCACGACTCACTGCCGCACGTTCTTAAAAAGTTATAGTCAATTTAAAATCGTCGTGGTCTGTGACACCCTATCTTACTAACGCCGGGTTAATATGAAGTACATTTCCTTTTCTACTAATTTTTTTAAACCAGNCGTGGTAATGTGGAGTACTTTTTCTTTTCTACTAATGTTTTTAAAGCGGGGGGGGGGGGGGGAATAGGTGAACAGATGACTGAGTACTTATATCTGCCGGCGCCCATGAACATGTACTCTTGATAATGAACGTAGGATAGAAACATAATAAGCTGAATAAAATTACAGATTCATAAATGTTGTGCATGGACGATTATAAAATCGACCATTTAAGATTTATTATATTTGTTTTATTCTTGTTCTAGCAACATCTACTGTCACGGAGAGCTGCTGCATGCGGTACAGATGTCAAATGTGTTTCCCGATTCCAAGACTTTTGTAGACATGAAAATGAAATATCCTAAGAACGAGATATGGCAACGATTTCTAAAACTGATGAACACAACTTACAATAATCCAAACAGGCAAGATATTTTCAGATTTGTGAATGAAGCGTTTGATCCACCAGGCAGTGAATTTGAAGAATGGGATCCTCCAGACTGGACTCCTCATCCCAAGTTTTTAGAAAAGATCAAAGACTCTGTTCTGCAGAAGTGGGCAACACATCTACATCACTTCTGGAAAGAACTCGGTAGAAAGATGAAAGATGAGGTGTATAACAATACAGAGTTTTACTCTATCATCTACGTTCAACATCCTGTGATTGTGCCCGGGGGCCGTTTTCGAGAGTTCTACTACTGGGACTCATACTGGATAGTTAGGGGTCTCCTGCTATCAGAAATGCATAACACTGTCAAAGGCATGCTGGAAAATTTCCTCGGCATGGTCAATAAATATGGTTTCATTCCAAATGGAGGACGTATCTATTACATGAGGCGATCTCAACCGCCTCTGCTGATACCAATGGTGAAAAGCTACATAGACGCAACAAAAGATGTGGAATTCCTGAGAGAGAACATTGACACCATGGAAGAGGAGTTTCAATACTGGATGAGAAACCATTCAGTTATGGTTCCAAAGGATGGGAAAGAGTACAAACTGGCTCATTATTGGGCTCCATCATCCGGGCCCCGTCCGGAATCATATAGGTAAATTTTGTCTAAAACATGGGTGGTAAGGTAAGAAATGTTCTCTGTGCTTAACTAATTAAGTACTAAGGCATGAAGACAGGGCCGCGCCATAGCCCAAGCGATTAGTCGCTGGCTTCCCACCGCGGCGGCCCGGGTTGGATCCCGGGTTGGATCCCGGGTCTGGTCAAGTGGGATTTGTGGTAGAAAAAGTGGCGCTGGGGCAGGTTTTCTCCGAGTACTTCGGTTTCCCCTGCCAATCTTCATTCCACCAATTGCTCCACAATCACCCTCACCTATCATCTTGGGCTGGTACAATAGGCCAGAAGTGGCCGCAGTACAAGGGACTTAGTCCCACCCCACTAGCAATAAAGAAAAAGGCGTGAAGACTGATAGAGGAGTGGTTGCATAGATCCAAGTATTCTTGACCTCGGCATTAGTTTGAGATGAGTGGTCATCTTAACTCCCTGACCGCTTTACCCCCAGGGTAAGGCCCTATGTAACCAGTCTGTGGGCCCCAGAACTGACCTGGACGACGTAGAGAGGAGAAAATTCCTACCCTCACTGGGACTCGAACTCCAACCCCTCGGCCATCCAGCTCGTAGCCAGCCGCTATGGGCAAACTTTATGGTCGAAGGCCCTTAGGTGGTGTTTGAAACTGTTCTGCTGTTTGGGAATAAGATCAGCGTAATTATTATGAAGTATTCCTTTAAGTTGAAACATGTAATTTGCATAATGAATGTCATTATTTACCACAACACTGCGACAGATGGTACTGATTGTGGTTGCTTACTGTGACTTTAATTTTCATTTTAAAGTGCATTGATATAAGTTAAAAATAATATCACAGGCACATTTACGCAATAGCTCCGTGGACCAGATATGAAGCTCTCATGGGTTGTAGTTTGATCATCCCTGGTCTAAAACATCAGTGAGATTACGTCGTATCTCTGTAAGCACCTTGCGAAAGAGAAGCCCTGTGTGTGTTCTACGACATTTCTGGAACGACAATTTTGGTTCACATTGTGTGTTGAGAATAGAGTAGACTAACTTTGCAATGATTATTAACAGCCTGCATCATTATCCTGTGATGATAAACTTAGAAAATATTTCAGACACAGTGTTCTTTTTAAAGCGCAGGAATATGGCAAGGGATAATGACCAGAGTAACGAAAACGGTATGGTTTGAAATTACCGCCTCGAACCACTGAAGATGCTAGAAATGGTATGGGTCTTTAAACTGGTTACAAAATCTAGATTCTAAATGAGATAATATTTAATAAGAAGTGCATTTGTTCCTTGTTTCTTACGTGTCAACTACATGACAAAAACAGTTACCCTCATTCTTCATTAAGCACCACTCCTTGAAGACATATGGGGAACAGAGGTTGAGCTACATGCATTCTTAACCACGGCACTAGATGGAGGTGAGTGGTTAGTTTCATGCCCTTGCTGCCTTACCCCAGAGAAGCAGCAACAGAAACCAATTGTATAGGAAGCTGGAGGGTCCCCAGAGCCCGTCTGGGCGCTATGGTTATTCTGTGCCAGTAATCGAATCCCAATTTCTATGTCTGACAACCAGTAGCGTAGTCACTACAGAGATTGGGCTATGTGAAATGAAGAAACGTATAGTATTGACCCTTTGAAATTCAAAGTTTATTTAAAAACTCAGTTTCTGCTTCATAGAAAAAAAAGGATGTGTCTCCAGTTCAAAGTCTAATCTTTCTTGAGGGTAAAGCAATGGGGTGTGAAGATGAACATTCACCTCCATCCCATGCAAAGGTTAAGATGCGTGGAGCAATATCTTCACTTCCCCATACATCTTCATGGCAAGTTGCTTAATTAAACTCGTGGACAACTTTACCTTTATCCTTGTACCTTGCAATTTTCTGTGGGCATGGCAAAAGGCAGCCCACTGATGAGTGTGGGAAGGATTTGTAGCAAAGAAGCCATGGCTTTCATGAGGCTACTTTCTGGCATTTGGCCTGAACGACCGTAATATATATAAAATACTTTCCAGAGTAGATGGTTCTTCAGTTCAGACTCCCACTTGTTAAGCAGTGAAGCTAACAAATGCAGTATGTTTCTCAAATGGTAAACTTGGCCTCATACAGGTAATGCTGTTAGAATGAAAGCCCATAAGATGTGGTTTATATTCTATATGCCAGGCAAGCTTAGGATTAACTTAATAGCTTTTCATATTTACATATGATAATCTCGTTGTTAGGCTGTACCATAACTCAGATGAATGGATGCTGACTTCTCACTGTGGGGCCTCAGGTTCAATGCTGGTTGATTTGATGTGAGATTTGTGATTGAAAAGTATCACTTGAGCAAGGTTTTCTCAGAGTTTCTCCAGCTTTAATATGTTAATTATCATTCCACTATTTCTCCCTACTCATCCATCACTGCTCATTAAGGTATTTTATTTTCAGATACACAAACATGTCACTGTATTTGCTTTTGGTATAGTTTTAGAAGGATCAAATGAAAAAGAATGAGATGGGTAGGGCATGTAGCATGCATGGGAGAGAGAAGAAGTGTACACAAGGTTTTGGTGGGAAAGCCTGAAGTAAAGAGAACAATATGAATAGCTAGGTGTAGATGGGAGGGTAATATTAAAATGGATCATCAAGAAATTAGTTGTAGGGTTGTGAACGGGATTCATGTGGCTTCGGATAAGGACTAGTGGCAGGTTCCTGTGAACACAGTAATGAACCTTCAGGTTCCATAAAATTCTGGATATTTCTTGAGTAAATGAACAAGTATTGGCTTCTCAAGAAGGATTCAGGTTCGTGGAGTTAGTTCTAATATAACTTAGACAGCATTGCAAAGTATCCTGACAATCAAAGAATAAATCTCAAGTTTTTAACAGATGTTTTCAGAATGCTGTCTCTCAGTCATTGCATACAGCTCCATGTCTACTGACTCCATAGGTCAGATTCCTTCTTAAGGACTTAGTAGTTACTCAACTAAACAAGACTGCATTTTATGGAACCCATTGATTCTTTGCCACATCCACGAGAGCCCATCACTAGATCCTGTTCTGAACAGTCACTGCTAATAATGCAGACATTGAATACAAATGAATGTCAACAGGGAGGATTATGAAAATGCCCAAGTGTTCAAAACAGAAGCTGAGAGACAAAATCACTACATTCAACTGAAGACTGCTGCAGAATCAGGCTGGGATTTCTCTTCACGCTGGTACATAAAGGATTCTACTGACAAAGGTAAGCTTCAGTTTATTAATAATCAAGTCACATCTTTCCACCAGAAATGTAAACACAGCACCAAAGAAACAGTTTTACTATTTTGGCTCCAAAATGTTGGGTTAGGGAATTTTCCATTTTTAAGGTGTATGTTAAGACTGACAGATTTATGCAAGTCTTTAGTAATTTTCCTTCGAATGCATTGAAATGGGATGGAGATGGCCATGCTAAATAAGCAGTTCCTACAGATCAAGAATGGTGGTTATGGATCAGAGCTTCCCATTGTGCAATGGCACTTTCAGCATTGTGGATTCTTGGCTTAAGAATCAGTGACGAGTGCTTTGCTATTGTGTAGATCAAGGAAGAACAAGATATCCCTACAGCATACACACGATTTCATGAACATAACACAAACTATCAGTTTTTAGAATTTTAGTGAACATTTAATAAGTAATTTAAATATCACTATTTTACCTTGATTATTAGCAAATTATATTTATTACAATGCAATAATTATATATGATGTTCTGACATGGCAGCTGGAAGCTAGAATGGCAGGATAAAAAGAGGAAGCTTCTGATAGGAAATGCAACAAATCAAAATGCAACAACAGAAGAACCATGGAAGCGATATTTTCTATGCATTCCAAGACCAAAGCTATATAGCAAAGATGCAAAAGGACCCAAAACCAAGGTTGACTGTGCTAATGAGGACTAGCAGCAATTTACCCCAACCAACCTGACCAATCAACAGGGTGGTGGTGGTGGTGGTAGTGTGAGTGCGTGTGTCTGCACGCCTGCAGGTGAATGCCCGCTTCAGTCACCTTTAGTAGAGTTGGAGTGACCAGTAACTGTCAGACCCATCCTTTTGTTGACAAAGAGGCCCCATTTTAGAACATGTAAAACACTTGAAGAAAACAAAAATACAGCCATGGGTCCTGATGGGATCAAAAACCAAGATTGACTATGCTGGCCTAAGCCAGCAGCAATTTACCCAACCTGCAGAGAGTCAAGTCACTCTTGAGTTTTGTTGATAGATGCCAGTAGCAAGAAATCAATAGTGAAGACATAGCAGACTGAGAAGACTTAGTTTTTGCAGTTGTAATTTGTAGAGTGTGTAGATTAGTGCAATAATTATTTGCAGTTACAAGTTAAAAGGTTTCAATAAATTCAGTTATCAATCCAAACCCTGTGTCTAATCACTGATACATTACAACTGGTGTCAGAAGTAGGACAATATAGTACACTTTACAACATAATTAACCTCAGAATAAGACTTATAGCTCAACTGTTGTAGAAGAAGGCAAAGTGGAACTTTCATAATATAATAAATATATTTATACTACACATTCAAAACTTATGTTTCCAGGTTTGACTTGGGAACCTAATAATTAATATATGCCCAAATTTCAAATGGCAAGGAATTAATTAAAATTTCTAGCTGAAATAACCACATATTTCATGTGATAGGAAATGGTATTTATACAAGGAAGTACTAATTCAAAATATCACAAGCAGTGGAGCAGAATATATGTTAGTACTCTGAAGAAGCTTATAAGAAACACAATTCAGTACATGGAAAAAGAGGAAGGTACACGGGACAGATTCAAGTCATGCTTGTTTTTATAGTCATGCAGCTCTGATGGCAAAATCTTCTTCAGTACATCAACAGAGAAAAATGCACTATTTTATAAATGTGTGTTTTGCTGTTTTATGTATATCATTAATCATGATTTTCACTTATTGTAGGTACAGATTTATTGTTGCAAAGTGAATTGCACTACAGATACCACATTGCACAGAATTAGAAATTGTTTTGCATACCTCAATGCTCATGATGTTCATTTATTTTAATGGATCTACTGTTATAATTTAATTACACTACAGATACAACATTGCATAGTGCCAGAAATGGTATCATGTACACCTTATTGGCCAAGATATTCATTTATTACATTTACGGTAGCATAGTTGGTTGAGGCACTATGCTACAAGCCAGAAGGTCGCGGGATCAAATCCCGATGAGGTCATTGAATTTTTTTATTTNCACTACAGATACCACATTGCACAGAATTAGAAATTGTTTTGCATACCTCAATGCTCATGATGTTCATTTATTTTAATGGATCTACTGTTATAATTTAATTACACTACAGATACAACATTGCATAGTGCCAGAAATGGTATCATGTACACCTTATTGGCCAAGATATTAATTTATTACATTTACGGTAGCGTAGTTGGTTGAGGCACTATGCTACAAGCCAGAAGGTTGCGGGATCGAATCCCGATGAGGTCATTTAATTTTTTTATTTACCTAATCCTTCCATCCACACTATGGCCCTGGGGTCAACTCAGCCTCTAACAGAAATGAGTACCAGGAACATTCTTGGAATATTCTTAGGGGTAAAGGACAGCCGGTGCATAGGGCTGACAACCTTACTGCCATCTATGTGCTGATTGTCTAGAAACTATGGGAACCTCAACATCTCACAACCCTATGGGCCCCCATGGCCTGTTCCAGGGATACCTTTACTTTACTTACTTTACAGTTCTATGTTTACAAATCCAAACACACTACAGCTATAGTAATGCATAGAATTAGAAACTGTTTTGAATTGAATTGAATTTATTTACATTCTATAAATCCTAAGCAGGTTAGTACCTTTGGATACAGAACAAGTCAAAATGTTACATACATAAGTACAGGCAATTTTAGCTTAAAAATTAATATAACTTAATTTTACATCATTCTCTATTTACATTGAAGTATTCATCTAAAGAGTAGAAGGAATGAGCATGTAGATAATTCTTTAACTCTGATTTAAACTTTTTAGTATCATTGCCCAAGTTTTTAATACTTTGTGGCAGATTGTTGAACACTTTTATGCCAGTAAAGTAGACTCCTTTTGGTATATTCTGATAAAGTTGATGAGGGTAGGTGGAAGTTGTATGTTGTGCATACTTCATTGGTGATGTTGTTCATTTGTTGCAGAGACAGATCTAATGTTAAAAACTAATCACACTACAAATATACTGATTTGATAATCAGTCCTTCTCAATTTCTCAACAGCTCTCTCCTGTTTTTTTTTATGTTTTCTAGTGTCTGGCTGAACCATCTGGTTCTGCGTTGTCTCATACATGTTGTTACTTCAAGTTGTAATTGTAAACCTCTTCTCAGTATCCTTCTTCTATCCATTTTCTGTACATTATTAAAGCATTGTAAATGTTCTATTCTGTTAGCAAATTTTAATTCAGCTTTGTCTATAAGAATTTAATTTCTGATTTTATTTCTTCCTGTATTACTCCCAAGGTTTTCCAAGCATGACATGTCCATTGCTCAAATTTTGCTCTTCTTTCTGTTTGTAAGTTTCCAAGATTCAAGATTAAGTATTAGTATAGTTTTGAACTATAAGATATAGATTAATATTTTACATTGTTTGGGGATCCCTGTGTTCAATAATATTGCTTTTGTAATTTAATAATATTTAGAATTAATTTCTGCTCTTTATCGATCTTTCCATGGATTTTGCCTTCTGATTTACCTCACATCCGAAATAATTAAACATATTCATCCACCTCATTAACCACTGTATAATACTGGTACTAAAACTGTGAACTATTTATTGTGTTAAATTTGTGGAATATGATATTTTAGTTGGTTCGTTTTTATGAACTCTATCTGTATTGCATGGTAGAATGAAGGAACTTACCTGAAATATTTATGTTAACTTTAGATGTTTATATAGGTTGTATCATGTGTCGATACATTGACTAAAAAGGATGAATAAAATTGAATTGAATTAAACTGAAATATGTTTCAGGCAACATAAGTGACACCATGACTCAGTATATCCTCCCTGTAGAACTCAATGCCATACTCTGCTGGAATGCTCAACTCTTATCAGAGTTCTATGATACCTTGGACATGCCCCACAAGATGGCTGAGTACAGACGCTTGGCAGAATCATGGCAGGAGGCAGTAGAGAATATCCTTTGGCATGGAGAAGTGGGTATATGGCTGGATTATGATCTACTAAATCAGATCAAGCGTAACTACTTCTATCCAACAAATTTGGCCCCCTTGTGGACTGGCTGCTTTAAGAGAAAGTTGTTGCAAGTTGGAAAAATTATGAAGTACCTAGAGCAGTCACAGATCATGATGTACCTCGGGGGCATTCCAACATCAGTAGAACATACTACTGAACAGTGGGACTATCCCAATGCTTGGCCTCCGCTCCAGTATATTGTGATCATGGCTCTGGAAGCTACAGAAGACGTTTGGGCTCAGAAGCTGGCTGTGGAATTTACAAGGAAATGGGTTCACTCCAATTTTAAGGCATTCAATGAATCACATGTGATGTATGAGAAGGTAATGTAATTTATTTTATTAGTCTGCTTTAGATCAGCTCATAACAAAGTTAATGTACCTAGTAGCTAAATTATTCATTAAATATTATTTTTGTATCATTTACACAGAAATTTTTATACATGTTACTATATTATTTGGTGAATAACTTTTCTAAAGGGTCCTGATGATGGTATGTCTTACTAAATATTTAGTAATTTTATGTTTCCGTGATTGTTAACTGCTAATGTTAATTCAGCTCATGGATGTGGGTGATGTTGCTGATATTTTGGAGGTATGTGCTGCCTCAATCTTCAGGATCAAATTATTCAGAATATGCGAGTTTCTGTGTATATATAGATATATATTGCAAAAGGAAGATGGGTGAGAAGAGCAGGGTCTGGTATCCAGTCTTGGTTAATGGAAACAGTGAACTGGAAAAGGTTTCAAGAGAGAGAGAGAGAGAAGCAGCCCATATAGGGACCACTGTATGCACCAAAACCACCAGGAAGTGATGTTCCAAAGCAGATACCCCTCCATTTGCTCACCAGGCATGACATTAGGGTCATCACTTGGTTACAATTTTTTCATGCACTCCATGGCCTTTGAAAGGGCTGATTATTTCCTTTCATGCACCTCTCACTGTCCACTGTATATTGGCCCAGATGAGGCACCAGCTCCAATGCTTCCCCTCCATGGCTCTCTCAAAACATTATATATATGCAGAAACCCACTCACCCTACGCAGACTTAACCCTGAAAATGGAAGCAGAATGTATCTAAAATGTCGGCAACACTCTCCAAATCAAAAGCTACATTTGTTACTACAAGCATCCTGGATTTTGTCCATCATTTGACATTCTGAAAACCACAATACAGCTTTCACAGTGCAATCTGGATCAATAAATGAGATTAGCTCCCCCCCCTCCCAAGCATAAGAGCAGATCTGGCATCCAGAATGTTGTGATGTGGTGTTCAGAATATCAGGCCTCAGAGAAAGTTCTGAAAGCTAGTAATATTAAGAATAATATATTTCAAGATAATTCTGACATTAACATTTTGTTAATTTTATGTGAACAATAATTATGTAAGCCATGTTTTTAAATTTAAGAATGCTATGAAGGATCAACTGCTCATTATGTTTTCTGCATTCAATGGGTATTAGAAAAATATGGGAGTATAATGAATCTATTTATAAATATTAAAGGACTTACTACTAGCTTCAGTTAATCATAATTTTTATATAGATCAAAATATGGTGAATGTTGTATTAGATGTGTCACAGTTGCAATTTGTTTCTATTAAAATGGCGATAGAACAACAAACTGACAAACACTACCCTTAAATATCACTTAAATATCAGTTTGAATATTTCAGTATGATGCAACACTCCCTGGTGGACATGGCACCGGTGGTGAATATGTGAACCAGATTGGGTTTGGCTGGACAAATGGTGTGATATTGGAGCTACTGGACAAGTACAGCCAAATTTTAACAGTGAAAGATAGCTTCTTCAAGACTGAACAGGGGCAGCCACATTTTCCACAGCATGACAAGTCTGGATCATCTTCATTTGTAGCACATGTAATAATACTGACCCATTTCTGCTGCTGGGTACTTCTTGTGTCATGATTACACATGTCTTTTGTAAGGTCTATTTAAAAGTTGATTGTCCTATTGCTATTTCCAGATGACATCCATTGATCTCTCTTTATACTGCTGTATGTGCACAAGGGGTACATGCAATTTCAGTTCATTCTTTTCATGCCATCTCTTCTACATTGCAATATGTTATAACAGATTGACAGCAAATCAATTCTGCTTAAACAGTATGCTTACACACACAGGGACAACCAAGAGCATACTCTGTGATGTAAATATGCATGGAATGTTACAATCATTACACAAATCCCTGATGAAGGAAACAGAGACATTCTCAGAAACATGAGATGTTCCTAACCTCATACTGACACCACTGACTTCCCAAGAAGATTTGCATATAATAACCACGAAAGCTTCAAGTCATGTAAAGTATATGATATAAATTCCGTCCTAAGTGTAACAATTTATTGTAGGTCTTTCATTTTGCCTTCTTCTACACTACATGTTCCGGCCGCAAACGGCCATCATCAGGTATATACACTCACGTAGCTGTTACACTGCACCCAGTTTAAAATTTAAAAACAGACAGGTCTTCCCAATTGGCTAACAGGATCTACTTCACTGATATTTGTCTGATTTGTACATCATCTTTGTCACCCACACAC